AGCGACATAGTACAAATGAAAGGTAGTGAGAAAAAGCTAGATGAGATGCAATCAAAATTTATAATTAAAAATAAAAATTACTCAAGTATCTAAAAAGAAAAAGAATTAAATCTTATATATACTTCATCATATATTTTTTATTAAAAATACAGTGTTGTAATTATAAAAGTAATGTAATGTTCAAATTCTCTCTCTCTCTCTCTCTCTCTCTCTCTCTCTCTCTCTTGCAATAATCAGTATCTTTTGAAATCAAAACTAATCATAATGTTGGTATTATTTATTTTTGTTCTTTTTATGGTATTGATATTTTTCTTTATTTTCAGTTTTGCATTGGATTTTGAAAATTATAAAATGGTATATAGAGAAAATGAAAGGAATAAAATAAAAAAAACATAAATGAATAAAGAAAATTGGAGGATTTTTTTTTTCAATTGAATTTTTATTTTACTGATTTGACTTGCATTTTAAGGTTGTCACTTCAAGAAAAATAATGTAACTTATGTTATTACCTCTATAATTTATCTCTATGGTTAATTATTATTCTGCTTTTTTCTATTCTTTGTATTTATAATTATATCATCCATTATTATAGATTACATTATTTTTACATAAAATACAAAAAAAAAATTTAAAAATTTAAAAACAATGAACATTAATGATTTCAAATACACGAAAGAAACTTGCATGAGATAGAAAGCTACATTTTTTGTCATACATTCAACTATTCACTAAATAGAAAAAAGTTTTAATCGCTATAAAGAAAAAAATCATACAGTATAATATATGTCAATAGAAATAGGAATAAAAAAAACGAATGTGAGCCTCAAGACAAATCTATGTTATGAAATCTCAAATTTTGAAAAAATTAACAAAAAAAAAAAAAAAAAAGAAGCAAAAAATTATTCTAGATAGTTAATCAACAAAATTAAAACAAAATATTTTTACGGGCTACCATTGAAACTATAAGCATAATTCTTAACGGTCAACTTTATATTTTATTGAATTACATAATTAATCACCAAAATATTGCCTAAACAAAAATCAACTATTCCAACGCTATACGGCAGGGCAGCCATTTCATTGTTCAAAAGGTTTAACAAACGGTCGGCCATCTCAAACCGCGGAGATGGGTGTTAGATGCTGCTGGCTAGTAGCACAAACTACGTCACAACCATTTTAATTATTTTTTTTTTCCATGACTCTCTATACTATTTACAGCCCTCTCTCTCTCTACTTTCTCTCTATAACTCTATTCTCTTTCTATCCCTCTCTCTCTACTTTCTCTCTCTATAACTCTATTCTCTTTACATCCCCCTCTTTCTCTCTAATGACCTCCCCTGTTTGCTCAAACTTCATTCAACTCTCTTCGTCTATCTTGTAAGACTCTCTCTCTACAGGTCCTCTGTCTAATAGAGGCCATTGCCGACCGATTTTCTATAGAACTCTTTCTCTCTCTAAAAAAAAGCCATCATCATACAGGACTCAACATCCTAGGTCTACTCGCCTTACCTTCTATGAATATTATTTCCTTAGGCATCTCTGTCTGAGTTAATAAATATACGTCAGAATCTTACGTTAATAATCACTCATCTTACACAAATGGACGATTTTAAATAACACAAAAAACTCATCCATCAAATTCTACACAATTGGAAATTTAAGTCACAGGAGCTAGAGATAGCAACCAAAAAATTTCTTTGCCTATAATGAAATAGAGAAACTGTTGGAGAGAGAGAAAGAGAGTCCGTTGAAAAGACAATGGGAGCGATATTTGAAGAATACTGTTGGTCAACCAATTTTTTTTATTTTTTTATTTTTTACATTGCAACTCAATCAACTTGAATTTTGAATTTTTTTTTTATTTTTTTATTTTTTAGAGTTGAAGTTTGGGGCACTGCCCTAGTAACAAAAAAAAAAAGCAAAAAAAATTAAAATTCAAGTTGACAAGGGACAATTTTGAAAAAAAAAAAGCCACTTGACCAACTTTATTTTGTAGTTTCTGCCTATAAACCGAGCATTTTGTATTGTATCTAAAATTTTAAGATCCGGCATAAATCACTCAAAAACAATAATTTCTCCATATTGAATAAGACCATATAATTTTTGAATAGAGATATAAGAATTAAAAAAACTCAAATTTCAAACTTTTTCTTTTGATAATAATAATATAGTGATTTTTAGGTGGCTTCCAAAATTTTAAACTGAAAAAATCCTACCAAGTCGGAGCATAATATTCATGCCCGCCCAGGTAGGATTTCGCTATCTCTAATGCGGGTTTTAAGTAAGTAATTTGTTTTCCTCCCACGGTAAGCTGTGCATTTGGTCTTGACGAAACCCCAAATAGATTTGTTTGATCTCAAAACACTGAGTTAATTTTGTTATCCCCAATTTCAATCTTATAATATGAATTTTAATGCTCTAAATAAATTGCCTTCGATGATTATGGACAATGGAGTGTCTATTCGCTGGATTATGTGATCAAGGTTTTCGAGTGCTTGATTTCCTTTTGTTGGTGACGTATTGAAAATTTTGAAGCCATATGATAAGAGTGTTGTTTGTATAAGGTGGTGACCTTAAACAATTTGATTAAGGTGCACTTCCAAATTTTATTATAAGATGTAATGTTAGTGTCAAAAATTCTTAGGGTGGCTTTATAATCCATTTTCATCTTTAATTGTGAATTTAATCTAAAAATGATTCAAATCAAGTAGATCTATAAACACATGAAAATCTTGAAAATTGACAGTCTAGATAATATGTTGCAAGATGCATTATTTCGGGACTCAAAATCTTTATTTTTTTTGTCGGGCAATATGAGATTAACTAGCTTGTACAAAAATAAATAGTCTTATTTTATACATTTCCAAAAAAATAACTACTCCATTGCTCTCGACAAAAAAATCAAATAAGGAATCATGTCAAATTTTATATCAAGTGAGAGGTAAGGTACAGCTCAAAACCCCTTCGAAAAAGGTTGCTTTGACAATGCTTCAAATGAAATCCTCGAACTCATATGCATGGATAAGGAAGAATTTTATGTTCTAAAAATAATGTATCTTGTAACACATTGTATTGATCATCTATTTTCACGATTTTTCGAGTAATTATGGATGTACTCCTCCTACACCATTTGGACCTTTAGATTTCATAAACAAAGTGAAATGAGATTTTCAGCCCATCATAGGTGGTTTTTCTATAACACTTCTAGCAGGGTTCCGAAGTATCTCACTCTCTCTCTTTTATCCTTCTTTTTTTAAAATTTTTTTTTATTTTTGGAAGTATTCTTGATTTGAGACACCTCAAAGTCACCTTCACCACATCTAAATGTGGAATTTGGAGCTCCAAAGATCTGATAGGTCTACAAAACTATCCCCAAAACAAGTGGTGCAAATGGCCATTTTTAGGGCTTCAAATGTAATCTACTTTTTCTCAAAGCCATAATCAATGGATATAGAGGGGTCATCATTGTAAACTTTCCAAATAAATATTTTTAAGATATATGCATTAGCCGTCACAAAGCAATAGGCAATAGTGACCATAACTTTGAATTTTTCTCAATCTCCATATACTAGGAACTTTTCCTTGAACAATGAGTTTTTAATGAAATAATGTTTCCAAGCATAATAGGATAAAGATAAATTTCTAAATTTTTTTCTTCAAGTGAAAATAAGGATCTCAATACTACCTAGCTTTTAAAATTTGTTTAGTACGAATTTTATTGCTTAAAAAGAATATATGCTAATATGCAACAAGTGATATTAAAGACTAACTTATCTTTGCATAATACATTTCCAATAATAAGATTTTCTTCTATATCCAAGATCCAGATAAAATCTGTCTATTTTGTTGATTTTAATTTTTCCAAGTAAAAAAGTAAAGGATGCGAGATTCATTTAACTCCTGTTAGTTTTTTATTTTTACAATTTTTTGTGTTAATTTTTTTTTCGCAAATCAAGAATTAGTTGCCTTACATGTAATTAATCTCTATACCATATAGAACAAAAATCCAAAATTGCTATTCACAGATTCTTTGCTAATGTATCTAAGGTGGGGCAAATAAAATCTTAATGCACAACCAGTATGCTACATGTCATCACATCAATTGTCGTCAATAATTAGTTTCCTACCAGATAACGGAAACCTATCAAAATACCCACGAGAAGAATCATTGTATATTTTACCCAATCACATACCTTTTGATGCGAGTTTTTAAAATTATTTTAAAACATATGAGTTCATTCATCTCTAAAGTACTTCGATAAATTTTCCGAGAAATAACAATCTCCTACATTCAAGCGTGCAGTATAGTATAGTACATGTAGCGTTCCAAAGATTATACCATGCAATGGATGACATGAGCCATTCTCTTGCCTAACATCTGTTAGTGACTACTCCAGACGAAGAAACCTACTTTCACCATCCAATATTAAACATTGACACTGGAGATGATACAAATCAACCATTCAGATAATCCATACATCTCTATGACTTTAGAAACCATTTACATTTGCTACAAAAAAGTCACAATACCCGTAGTGGTAGTAGAATTCAGTGGATGTATAACTTTAACACTACAGATCTGGAAGTAAGGATATACCTCAGCCGCTTGATTTCCCATCTAAACAGCTAGGCTAGGGCCATTTGTAGCCTTGTGTATGAAAGGAGCTTGTCATTGCAAAATGCAAACAATCCCAATTTTCAATAAACCTCAGTTTATTGATATATTCAAGACAGGCAACATTCTTCCATGTTCTAAAGAACCCATTAATTACCATGATGTCCAAAACCAACCTCTCTCTCTCTC